TTATATTCGTAATCTTTATAAAATAAGCTTTAAAATGAGTCCAAACACGACGCATTTATTTAAAAAAACAAAAAAGTTAGAATATGAAACAATAAACCCGAAGTTGGCAACAATGAAGATAACAATTTAATTTTTAAATATTAATACCAACCTTAATTTTTTATTTTTTTATTATAAATTTGTTTTTGAGACAAATAAGAAGACATTTTATAAAAATGAAAAATATGTCAAAATGACATTGACATTTCAAACCGGAAGTTGACCATAACTTCATTAATATTGAAGATAAATATGTCGTGTTTGTACTCATTTTAAAGGATTTTTAATGAACATTACAAATATGTCAAAATTGAGGTTGACATTTTAAATCTGAAGTTAGTTATCATATAATAGACATATGGACAACTTCATGGTGTTCATTCATGATATATTCTTTATTAAAAAAAACCTTTAAAATGAGTCCAAAGATGACACTTATCTCAAAAAACAAAAAAAATTGAATAAAAAAACATTAAAACCGAAGTTAGCAACAATGAAGATAGCAATTTAATTATTAAGTGTTAATACCAACCTTAATTTTTATTTTTTTTATTGTATTTTTGTGACAAATTTTAAGACATTTTATAAAAATTAAGAATTTGTCAAAATGCCATTTCAAACCGGAAGTTGTTTATATCTCGACTAATATTGGAAATAAATGTATGATGTTTGGACTCATTTTAAAGGATTTTTCACGACAATTGCAAATATGTATGTCAAAATTGACGTTGACATTTCTAACCGGAAGTTGACCATAACTTCATTAATATTGAAGATAAATATGGCGTGTTTGTACTCATTTTAAAGGATTTTTAATGAACATTACAAATATGTCAAAATTGAGGTTAACATTTTAAATCTGAAGTTAGTTATCATATAATAGACAACTTTTCAATTACTCCAAAATAATTTTTAATTATTTTGAGCAACCCGGAATTGGTTTAAACCAGTTCTAAATCATTTAGACAAGTTTTGAAAGCTGCCCAATCCCTTCCATGCTCCTTGATGCAGCACTCGACGTTGCGTCCGGTTTGGCCAACATAAATCGTCCCACAACTACACGATAGTCGGTAGACTCCCGCTCCTTTTAATGGAGTTAGTTTGTCCTTGGCTATAGGGAGTGTGTTCCGAATTTTTGCTGACCGTGCCGTACCGCACTACGATGTCGTTCTTTTTGAGGTGCCTAGCAATTCGTTCCGTTACTCTTGAAACATAGGGAAGATAGATAAATCCAAGTGGTTTTGTACTTATCGTGTCAGCTATCAAACATTTAAAACATTTTTGCCATAATTTAGACAACTGTTCAATGATTACAAACCAATTTTTAACTATTTTGAACAACCCCGAATTGGTTTAAACCAATTTTGAATCATTTAGACAAGTTTTGAATGCTCCCCAATCAGCATTAAGTCATTTAAAACATTTTTGCTATAATTTAGACAATTATTTAATGACTCCAAAATAATTTTCAATTATTTTGAAGAACCCAGAATTGGTTTAAGCCGGTTCTAAATCATTTAGACAAGTTTTGAATGATCACAAATCAATTTTTAATTATTTTAACCAACCCTAAATTGGTTTAAACCAGCTTTAATTTATTTAGACAAGTCTTGAAAGCTCCCCAATCAGCAATAAATCATTTAAGACATTTTCGCCACAATTTAGACAACTTTTCAATGATTTCGAACCAATTTTCAATAATTTTTAACAACGCGGAACTGGTTTAAACTAGTTCTAAATCAGTTAGACAACTTTTAAATAATTACTAATCAGTTTTCAATCATTTAGAACACTTTGCCATAATATAAAATCGTTTTGGACAATTCTAAATGCAATTTGTAATTGCTTTAAACAATTTGGAATTTGAACCAGTTCTAAATTAGTTTTCAATCATTTAAAAATTTTTTTTTTATTATAAAAAAATTTATTTAAAAAATATAGATATCTATTTTAAGTTGGTTGTTAGTTGGCGCTACTCAATCATAGATGGCGC